TTTTAATAGATCAATAAAATAAGCTAACTAATACAGTACATGAAACAAATGACATGAGTCGAACATACATACATACTTCATTTTCTTCGGGAATATAACACGATAGAAGAATTGGCTTCATGGTAACTATTCATAAAAAAAATTTGCATTAATACGAGATGAATCGTGTCGTTGTCTTACAATTTATATATTATTAATGTTACCAACGAACATCATTTACACGTAGAGTTTTATGTTGATGAATTATATTTAGAAGATTTATTAGGGTAGGCCACAGGTTTGCTATGAGATTAGAAATTTTCACTTTCTTCGTATACTGAGAAAAACCTAATTGTAATAAACAATTCTTCGTATAATATTTGCGTATATGAATTTACAATAAGTTGTTATGTTCTATTTTAGTGTCGATATACAATATCGAGCCTAAAATATCATGCACGTGTAAAAAGTATATTTATATAGAATTAAAGAAATTATTCACAATAATTCATTCGATAACATTAAATCAAGCACGAATTAGTCAAATTAATCATATAATAAAATAATTTATATACACCTATTACATGAAATTAAGTTTCAGTACAAAAATAAATTTAAATTCAAACTTCATCAAGTATTCTAGGTGTGTTTATAAGTGTGTATGTGTGTGTGTATATATATATATATATGTGTGTTGAAACATAGAAAATTAATGGGTGTGTTATAAAAGTTGTATATATTCTATATTTTTCTTTTAATAACATCATTATCATCAACTAACCACAACAATAATGATGATATTTAATACATGTAAAACATGATGTGATGAACATGAAGAAGAAAAACTTCATGATGAATATGATTGCTAAACTGTTTGTAGTTGAATGCCAAATCAGGGAAGATGCATGATGACATGGAAAATTTAGTTTACAACTGCTGCTTACCTAATATCATGTCAGCCAGGTGTCAGATGTTTAAGCCACTGCCATCATCACCATCATCACCATCATCACCATCATCATCATCATCATCATCATCATCATCATCATCTTGATTCATGGGTCTCAATTGGTTTAGGTGATGACATAGCCCCTTCAACTTAAAATCATGTTATCTAATTTCAGATTATCTAATTTAATCAAACATATCTATTTTCTTAATTTTTATAATGTTATTCAATTTTGTTCTTTCTAAATATATATATATATATATATATATATATACATATTTAAAAAAATTTAATTATCATAAATTATTATTTTTTTAATAAAAATTAATGATTCTATTATTTTTGGTAACTATGTTCTATAAAATTTTAATTATTTATACTTTTTAAATAAATTAATTAGCTTCAACCTCATATAAATGAACCCATCTAATAAAAAAATAATTATTTGAATAAATTATAAATTACTACTTTGTAAAAGATAAAGTGTCACCTACACATATATGTATATGTATATAGTTAAATGTGACAAAAAATCATGTTATACTAATTTTTTATTTTAAAAAAATGATTGGTATTTGAAAACTGACATAAATAAAATATTAAATTAATGATTTATGAATCAAACTAATTAATAATTTTTTAATAAATATATGCATATATGATTTTCGACCCCTATATATATATATTATATAAAATAATATTCATTACGTGAAATATATATATATATATAATTATTTAAAAAAATAATAAACAAATGAAGAAGAAAAATAATAAACGAGTCAAAAAGTTGTAACGGATACGATTCCTCAGTAGTAATCTACTCCCGTCCGGGCTCGAACAGCATATCCCATAATTATTCCAGTTGCTAAAAATATCAGCTTCCCGTAATGACTAATTTACCCTCACTCAATTTTCAAAATTACGTATATGTCCTCCATCCCCGTCATCTTCCCACGTTACACTAGCTTCTAGAAGAATTATTCACTCGCTCTTTATATATATATATATATATATATATATACACGAAAATAAAATAAAAATATATTCGGATGAAATAAGAAAAAAAATTAGATATTAATATAAATTCTTATATCTGAATTTTTAGTCAATTAATTAATCTTTAAATAACTAAATTAGAGCAATATATAAATATATATGAATTTCTTATAAATTATGTTCAATACTTTTGTTTTTCTATATTATAAATACAATTCTTATAAATTATGTATAATAAGAAAAAAATTTATAAATAAAGTTTATCAATTTCTTATAAAATAGATAATTAAATACTAAATTTATATAACATATATATATATATATATACATGTACATACATATATAAATTCGGACCTCCTTCAAGCTTCCTCTTTCAAATTTCTTCAGGCACGTGGTACCTTCTTCTTCAGTCAAACCTGAATCTGTGGTGTCATCGGCAACTCTGCATGTCAGCAGCTAGCCGCGGACTCAACGGTTCGGCCCTCTTCTTGCTTTTCTCACGCACGCTACCCTCCCTCTTTGGCCTGGTACGCAACTGCAGCGCCCGTCCGCTGGTTCGGCAGCCAACCAGCAGCCAGCCTTCCTCTCGCGCCTTTGATGCTCCGCTCTTTTTTCGATACGTGGAAAGCATATAATCATTCTTAAAGTAATTTTCAAATTTAAATAATAAATTTTAAAATTTATCAAATTTGATAGAATTTAAATGCATTTAAAATTAGTAACAATCTCGATATTTTACGGTTAAAAAAAATATATATATATATAATTATAGATAAAATTACATAGAAATTTTGAATTTATTTTAAATTTCATTCTGAACCGAATATTTATTAATTTTTAAATTAAATTGATTTTTTTAAAAATAATTAAAATTTCAAATTTGTTTAGTATAAAATTGAGTGAGCGAGCACAACTAAGGGCAATAATTAATGCAATTAATTAAGGTTCTACGAGTTATGCAGAGGCAATTATTCCCTTACCCTTTTTAATTATTTTATTAATTAGCTTCATTTACAATCCTGTAACCGATTGTAATTTGGCAAATTTTCCTATTGGTTTCTCACCAACCAAACAGGAATCTCGAGCAAAAATCACTTCTCGGAAATTTTTTTAAAATAAAAAATAAAGGAAATTTGTTTCCATCATTTTCTCAAAAGCTTAAACGTTTTCTCGCTGATCACCGCTTGAGACCCTACGGACAGCTGTCAGATCGATCTAGTCTTTGGCCATGAGTCATTTCCATTTCCCAACACTTTCTCGGCAGCCAAACACATAATTTTTTTTTTTCTCAGAAAAAGGGAAAAAATCGGGGGAAAAGAAAAAGTAACAAGTAATTTTTTCATGTCTCCATTTCTGTTCCACTCTTCTTTACACCGAGCAACTGAAAAAATATATATGTTTAAAAAATAAAATAAAATAAAATAAAAAAGAAAAAGCCTGGAAAAATTCTCTGTTTTCTCCTTGCCTTCTTTGATCAGAAAAAAGAAGATCGCAGGAGTATATTTACAAGAGAATTAAAAAACGAGATCGTTTTCGTTTTCTTGTCTACATTACCCCAAATACACATATACGTATAACATACGATGGAAATTAAGCCAAGATCTAAGTTAAAAATGGCGGTTACGAACTCAGAAAAACTCATCGGAGAAGGAAGCGAGTAGATCCTGGAGGTCACGTGACTCAAGGCCACGACTGAGAGATTCCATGACTCGCTCGAACATCAGCACGTGACAGGGGATGTGGAGGACACCTTTCTGCTCGTAGCCGTACTCCTGAGCCGACTTGTTGAGCAAGCCGACGAACACCGGATGGTTGAGAAGCTCCGCGCTAACAACGAACCGCTCCATCTCGTCTCCGACGTAGACAGGAACGTGTCCTTCAGGTACCGCGGGCTTCTTTTGAGCGGCTGAACGGCGCGTAGGTCGCAAGATAGCGGATCGGAAGGAGTCGGCTCGGCGAGGACGACGGGCGTAGGAGTCGGATCGGAGTAAGCTGTAGTTGGAGGAGTCGGCGACTCGGGAGAGACGGCGGATGAGCTGCTTCATTCGTTCCTTGACGGAGACAACGCCGGAGCCCTCTATGGTTCCGAGTGGAGGAATCTGATGGAGCTTGAAAGAGGAGGAGAAGGAGAAAGTGAGAGTGAAGAAGAGTTTGGGAGAGGAAGGAGAAGACAGGGGAGGTGAGGTGGGTGTGAGTGAAGGAATTTGTATTATATAAAGGCGGAGAGAGAGAGAGAGAAGATACACATGGAAAGGTGATGAAGAGAGAGAAAGTGAAGGAAGTTGAGAGGTACAGGTAGGAGTACTTGACAGGTACAATTAGCAAGAAATTTCTCTTTAAGTAAAAATATAAAATTATATATTTTTTTACTTTTTTTTAAATTATTTTAGTAATTAATTCGTATATTTCCATTTGCGGGTGTCTTTCGCCCGCTCTCCTAAACGGGTCGGGTCAACTACTTCACTATATATTTTCTTTTTGTTGAATTTTCTATATTTTACCAACGATTTTATTTATTTTTTTTTTTTACTATTTTACCATAATTCAAACATTTACTAATTTATTTCTTCTTCTTCTTTTTCTTTTTCTTTTTCTTTTTCTTACACCTTGGAATCATCAACTTTGGAAATTTCATGCACGTTTTTACACCCTTTTTTCATATCTTTGCTCCGTGGAAAATTTAGTAAATAATAAATAAATATAAAAAAAAACTTTTAAGTTCTTAAAAATTTAAGTTTTTTAATTTATTATTAATTAAAAATTTTATATTTTATTTAAAAATTACAAATTTAAACTTCAGTTATTATTTTATAAATATTTTATTATCGACATATTTAATCTACGATTATTTAATTTATTAGTATATAAATAATATTATGATGATTAAATTAGATTTAACCCAATAAAACATGATTTATTTAAACGAAATAAACAATATGTAATGATTATATTTTTTTACTTTAACTAAAGATGATAAGATAAAAATTCAACATAACATTTTCAAAATGGGTGATTGAATAACAACTTCATATATATTTCGAGTTTATAAGTATTATACTAATAAAATAGAATCATCGGTTACGAATGATTATTCAATTGATAGTACATAAAAAAAAAAAATTTTGATTTAGTTCTTAATTATCTTAAGAACAATTAAAAAAAAGTTGATTAAGAAAATAATACCAATTAATTAATGCATGTAACTGAAATTTTTGAATGATTTTAGGAAGAAAAAAATAAAAAAATGACTTTTTTTTTTAAAGAAAAAATTGGTAAAATAATAAAAGATAATTACTAATGATGATACGCCATGGATTTTTATTTGATATGATACCTAAAATATATTTGTTATAATTAATTTATTATTCTAAATAATAAACTATTAATTAATTAATAATTAAGATGAATTTATATGTATTTTAGTTTTAACTTTATTAAATTAGATAAGATCATAGTCAAAAGTTACTCACTCCGCAGCCCTTTTCCAAATTAGCTTTTCGGCTAAAAAGGCAAAATTAGGGGCTA